TTTTTCAATGCTAACTTCTCCATTTTTAACTATTTAAAAATATGTAATATAAATTAATAGTACTTTAATTATTTAAAACAATATTAAAACTAATTGAAAGTACTAAACTAATTGCAGTACAACAATAATGTCTGTTATCATCATAAATTTGATGGGCAGTACAAATATTGTAGAAGAAAATTATTTTTTTTGAAGTATCAATCAAAATATTTTTAAGAAGTGTTAGGGAACCCTTAAACAAAATAAATGAAATTATAAATAAAATCTTCTATTACATTGAGTCTATTAAATTATAATTACTTAGAACTCTCTTTTTAAAAATACAATGAAAGAATATACCAGTTCAAAGATATTATAGATATTAGAAACTATTTACTTCATCTATTAATAGTGTAACTAAACAAAAAGATAACGAATAATTTCCTATTATCTCATCAACAAAATTATTGTTAATGTTTTATTGTACTTATCCTATAATAACAAATTAAATTATCATAATGTCTATATACAATGACTGGGTAATAAATGTAATAACTTAAATACAAAACATAACTCAGAACTTTTTTCTTATAATAATCTATATTATTAACTTCTTTATAATGTATTTATATTCTTTTCAAACTACTTATTAATTTTATTAATAAAAGGATATCTAAAATAAAAGGTAATTGAACTAAACTAATTGTTATCATTTATCTAGCAGTAAATGCATTCAAAATTTTCTATTGTATTTGTTACGGTAAAAATTATTTGTTAGTTATTGATTTATATTTTCAATTAATTTATATAGATTTTATTTTTTTTTTAAATTACAAAAAGTAGAGTTAGAATATTATCTATAAATAAAATTAGTTCTTTATATTATGAATTCCAATAATTTAATAAGTCTTAAATAAATATCATAAGTAAAAATGAAACAAACTAAAAAATATAATAAATTAAATTCATTTGTTAAACAAAAGATAACTTTGTTTATGTATTTGTACCAACAAGAAAAAGAAGTACAAATACAAAACTTAGTGTTTATAAAGAAAGAAATAAATAATATTAAAGGATGAAAGGTTAATAAATTTATTGGTTTTTGGTAATTAATTTTTTAACTAAGTAAAACTAATGAATTTATTCAAACCTTTTACAAATTCTAATAGAGTTTATATTGATGCCCAAAGAAGTATACAATAATTAAAACTTATTGTTTTAATTAAAGAAAGTATCTTTTTAAGAAAATAAAGTCTATACATCTTAATTTTTAGTCAAATGTATTTGCTTTATTACTAACTCTTTTTTTATTGAATTTTATAACTTATAAATATATTCATCATTTAAAAATCTATCCTAAAATATTAATTTATTAATCCACTCTATGTTATTGTATAACTTATAAGATAATCATCAAAAAGTTTTATATATTCATTGGTTCGATAATATAATAATATCTTTACAATTAACAAGAAAAATAACAATAATTTATTTCACTTTTTATATGTAGACAAAAGATTATTGTTTTCAAACAGAAATACCATAAAAGATATTATCGTATTCTATCAATTATTGTTTAACAATTATTTTATATCTTTATTGAACTATTGTTCACTACTTTAGTATTTCTAGAATTAAAAACATTATAAAAATATTCAATTCTATTAGTTTTAACAATACTTATTTGTCTTTTTTCTTTCTGACTTACTTTCTATTTTTATTTATTCATTACAGATTAGCTTGTTCATAGATACTAATGTTTATTCTACTCTCAAGGCATTTATGTAATAAATATAAAAACTGGTTGAATAGTTATAATTATTGTTAATAGATAAACAAGGTGAAAGAATAATTATTTTCTATTAATTTGATATAAAAAGAATAGTTTTAATAATTCTGATGAAATAAGTATTGATATGGCATAAATTTAATTTAATACATTCTTTTATTCTACATTCACAAACAGAATACTCTTTTTTTAAAAAAATTAAAAAAGCTAAATTATTATTCATTTTTTTATAACAAATATTTTATACTTCCATTTCTTTCAAAAACAAAAAAGGTTAATAATAGATTATCTTCATTGGATTTTCTTCATATTGAGAGATAATTACTTCAGTGAATTCAATATACTCTACCTCTACATAGAGTTCATTTACAACATGTTTGCATTAGAAGGTTCTTCTTCTAACACTGCCAGACATTTCTTTTAAAAATCAAATTATAAATAAAAAAATAGTAAAACTTAATGCTGAAATGAAATTTGTATGGAAACAGTCTTGAAAAATAAATTTATTCTTTTTCATGTACAGCTTTAGTAAATGATTTCCATAAAGACTCATATTGTTTACTTGATTTTTCAATGAATTTTTTCTTTTCTTTACTTGTTTCTGATTGTACTTGGGTTGGTTCAAGTTCTTGAGAAAGATTAAACAATTCATTTTCATTAATAATTTTTTCATCACAACACCAAAACCTTAAAATTTTTGGAACCAGAGGAAAAGGGTAACTTGTTTTTTGTCTTGTTTGTAAATCCATCAATATAATTCCAATACTCCTGACTTTATAAAAGTTAATCAACTTTCCTTCATTAGATTTATTTCCATCATCAGTATAAACTAAATCAGTAAGTATCGAACCAATAAAAGGAATAGATGGAGGAGGTGCTAATTTAACTAACTCTCTCATTTTACTGAAATTGTTATCAGGAGAAATAAGAGAATCTAATTGTTTAAATAAATTAACTTCTTCAGTACTTAATAATACCCAACTCTCTTTTAACCGATAAATACTACATGAATCAAGTCCAGCTAATACTGCTTTCATTCCATCAAAATTATTTAATTGTTTTAAATAATGAGCAACTGAAATAAAATAACGAATAGCAAAAGCTCTTTCATAATTTTGTTCTAATTCAAGTATTTTTTTTTTGAACAACGTTAATAATATGATTACTAAATCTTACCATTTTTAATAAGTTTGGTGTGAGGTTCTCTTTTTCTTTCTTCATCCATCCTTGCTTTAAAAATTCATCTAATTCAATCTTTTGTAATAACTCCATTTGTTTTAATGTTAATTGTTTGGCACAATCAAATGGAGAGAAACAAAATAAGGTATGAATTAAACTTTGAACCTCTTCATTAAAGTCTGTAATAAACCATTGTATTTTTTTCCTACTTAAAGAAGAAAATGAACTTTTTGAATATCTATCGGATTTAATTGAAATAGAAGGTAATTTAGATTCAAAGTCTTGACAAGATTTGATAGATAAAGAAGAATTTGTTCCAAAATATTCACGAGGTGAAATAGAACAATCAATAGATGAAATTGATTTTTGTTTCATTAATTTAGATTCTGTAGAATTTTCAATTTCTTTATCAATTTGTACTTGAATTGCATGAGCTAAATTAGGTTTAAATGCCCAAATTTTTTTCATTAACTCATCAAGTTGAACATAAAGCTTTTCATTTTGAAAATCAGCCTTTCGATTTTGAATCCACATTCTAAGTAAACCCATCACTTTTAATCGAATTGGAACTAATACCTTTTGTAAAAATGTTTCGAAACTAATTCCTTGTGGATATGTAGGATTAAATCGGATAGTTAATAACTCCATAAGTTTACAACTACTTACTACTAATGGATGAACAAGAATAAAGCACTCAGAAAAAAAAATATCAGAACTATCACAAGATGTGATATACTGTAAACATTTTTCAAGTGTTGCGTATCTAATTATTTGTGAATTAGATCCTTGTTCATAAGTAAAAGTAATTGTTTTGTTTGTTGTTGGAACATCAAATAAAAAAGATTGAGTTGAGGCACAATAATCACTCTCCTTAATTCTTGGAGAATCACAGTCTTTTCCCATAGAATAAGGACTCACACCAGAAGCGAGGTTTCTAATTTGTTTCAAATCATGTGTTGGGATTAGTTGTTTACATAAGGGACATCTTCCATTAACTTCTACTGACTGTTCAAAACATATTAAACAAATATCTTCTCCACATACTGGACAATGTATTACTTTGGAATGGTGTTCACAAGTCGGTGTTCTAAGATGAACCATTGAAGAAACAAACTTCTTCATTTTTATAAAATAGACTGATATTTGGGAGTTTGATTTATGTAAAAGTAACGGACTCGATTTGACGAACGTTTTATAGTTACATTTTCTTCTTTATTTATCTTTATTAATATGTAAAACAGGAAAAATAAGTTAAAGGAGATGAGGGAATAAAGAAAGAATAGTCCTTCTTTTGAAGAAGTTTAAAAGTGTTTTATATATCATAAATAACAAATATGTATAAAAAAAAAAGGAAGAAAAGAACTAAGATTTTCATCAATGGCTGAAATAAATAAGGAACTTCAATTTATTATTCTTCAGTACTTCAAAAATGAAGAAAAAAAAGAGTTGTTTTCTAGGGTTGGTATGGAGTTAGGAATTTATTTCGATGAGGCCTATATTAAAAAATTAGTTATTGAAGACCGATTATTTGAATTAGATACTCTTTTAAGTAAGTTTATTCAGTTTGTTTATTACACAATAAAACAATAATATAACTAATAATTTAGTGAGGATATTGAAAGTGAATTACTAGGACTTGTTTGTTTAAAAAAATATATGATGTACCGTGCTTTTTGTGATGGATGTCTAAGAGTTACAAAACAAATATATTCTTGGCTCTTTAATAAAGGACAAAAGTCAGAACAAATTAAAAAGAGTATTGAATCAATTTGTATTCATATTCATTTAGATAAATTTGATAAAAGTCCAATTATTTCAGAATATATGAAAGATCTAGATAAAATTCGAACAGAACAATTAGCAAATGATATAATTACTTCTTTATTAAAAAGTGAACGTATTCAAAAGTTAAGAGAATTTCCAAAAATTAGTGATGAAAATCTTTTAAAGAAGCTTATTTCTAAAGGAATAAGATTTGAACATATTAAAAATTGTAAAGGAAATCCAAGGGATGATATCACTATTGTTTCACTATTAAATATGACACATGAATGTCAGCCGAATAGTTATCAAAATAGAAAATCAATTTTAAGAGATTCTATTATTATTCCAAAAAATATTTTTGGCTTAAGAACAGAAATTGAAATCATTTCTAATGACAATATCACTAATATTAAAATTTTTGATGATACCATTGTGTTTGTTATTGGAACTAAAATTATTTGTGGAGTCAACATACAAACTGGTAAATCTATCTTTAAGTTGGAACTTCCTCAAATTATTTCATTTACTATTAACTGTTCAATTCTTGCTATTTCTACTTCAACACAAGTATTAATTTATTTACTTGGTCAAAACCTTCAGATTATTAAAATAATTGAATGTCAAAATATTTCTTCAATAGCACTCATCAATACTGATATTATTGTTTCTGATTCAAAACAGTGTTTTGTTTATAACTATTTCAATGATCAACCAACATTCGTATATCTAGATTGTATTGAGATTATTCCAATGAAATTACCCAATACCTTTGGGTTAATCAAAGGGAATGAGTTTTGTGTTTTTAATAAAAAGCTAGAAAATGGATATGAAATGATATTTCATTATCAATTCAATGAACCAATCAAAACTGTTATTGACAATAATATTATTGTTACTATATCAAATAAATACGCATTAGTTCCACAAACACACCACTTTAATATTAATATTCATGATAACTTTTATCCAATTGTCTCTGCAAATAAAGAAAATATATTCATTTTAAAAGAAGAAACTCTTTGTTGTATTAATTCACTCACAAATAAGGAAATTTCACATATTTCAATACCTAGAGAAACAATCATTGCTTCAAATGATAATGTTGTCATAATTAAAGCAAAAACAATTGAAAGTATAACAATATATAATATTAATCCTTCATATTCTATGATAAACCTCATTGACCCTGTTTCTGCAGTAAATAATAAATATTACAAATTAAAAGAAATAACTCCAGAAACAGAACAAAATAAATTATCAGTACACCAACAAAATACAGTAAGTGTTAACACATCTATTTATCCAATAAAACGAAGGACTGAATCTTTACCAATACCAGTTAGTGAAAAAAAAAGACTTGAAGAAGTTTCAAAAGAATCTGTTGCAACAACATTTGATGATTTAATTAATGAAAAAGTTTCATCTAAATGGGTATTAAAAGAACAACAGAAATTAGTTAATATCAAAAGTGTTATTAAGAAATTCCATTTTATTTCTCACAAACAATTTATGGTATGTGAAACTGAAGAAAAATCATTTTTCTTATTCAAGTTGAATGAAAAAAATTATGAAAGATTTATATCTAAAACAAATCAAGAGCCAGACATAGCTGTTTCAAAAGAAATCAATCAATATGGTCCATTTGGCGAAATGACAAGAAATGGAGGATATTTTATTTATTGGGATGGAACATGTTGTACGTTAGTTAGGTCTCATCTTCAAAAGAGTGTGACTACTTTTTGTGAATGTCCATTATCACATCCAACATTAAGTAGCTTAGGAATTTTCCCCATGGATTCAAATAGCATTCTTGTTGGTTTTGATGATGGGAATATTATTATTTACGAAGCAAATAGAAAGTTTTCTATTATCCAGTTACCCGATCCAGTCCATGATATAGTTTCAAATTTTATCTTCTACAATCAAGAAGATAAAAAAGAAATAACTACTAAATTCATTGTTCTCCATGAGAATGGAATTGTTGAAGAACTACTTTATGATAGAAAAAATAAACAACTTAGTAAAACAAATTGGTGTGTTGACTTGAAACCTCAGAAGTTAGTTTATGGATTTATTGATTCACCAAATCAAAAGTTATATGTTGTTGGTAAATATTGTTTAAATCAAATTGATTTATCTACAAAAGAGGTTAAAAAAGTAACATTCACTGATGTTATTTCGAGTGTTGCCTTATCTCGTAATAATAGAAATCTTGTTGTTGTTATGAAAGGTTCATTATATAACGTTAGCTTAGAAAATATTATCGAATATTTACCAATAGAAAAACCATCAGAAATTAATGAGGTTAAATGGATAGAGCCTTATGAGCAAGACTCTTTTGCTATTTCATGTAACGGTGGTGATATTAGAAGTTGTTTTTTTGAAGAGATCTCCTCAAAGTAAGTGATTGGTTTTTAAAAAAAAAAAAAAGAAAAGAAATATAAACTTCATTACAAAACATTATTGAATTGAAAAATAATCTTATAACAATAAACCTTATTCTCTCTTAAATGAAATCACACCTAAAAATCCAAAACTATTTGAATAAATACAATCCCTTGTGCCTCAGGTTATTGAACCTCTTGAGAAAATGAGAACAATGGTAATTACATATTTAGAATGTTATAGTGATGAAAGTTTTGATCCAATTAAAGAAGAAATTTCTGATGAAATAATAAAAGATTAACAGAAATGTTTAATCTTGTAAATGATGGAACGAAGAAATAAATGCTTTAAACGTTCTTCAAAAAATCAGTAAATTCTTTTAATCAGTCAAAAAAAATTCACAAAAGATTCTTTCTTCTATTGAACAAGATGATAATTATTTTGACCAATTACAAAAGTAAATTATCAAAGTTTCCTTACTGTTAGCTTAACATATCTTTTTTATTATTACTTCAACTATAACTTAATAACTCTTTCTTTAT